TGCACTATCATTTGTCATTAACCACAAATAAAAATAATCTAACTGGTTGATTATGGTTATAAAAAGTCTAAGACATTTAGTTGCAAAGAGAATGATGGAACAAAAAGAAATAAACAGTGTTACGTGATGGCCAGCTAATGCAGCAACAAGGCTTAGAGACAAATGGGGGTGGTAAGCAGGAAATAGTAAGACATGACAATAGCAAAAATTGCTAGCCATATTTTTAAATTTTGCTAAGATTATGGGGAATAGCACCTGAAGCCATACTTTGCACAGGTAAATGTATATTTATAGTACAGCTCTAACTCTGAGAGAGAATATCAGAGTCATCATTCAGTAAGGCTTAGGCATTTCAACGGTTAGACTGTACTACGCAATAGTAGAGAAAGTGATTGAGGAAGCATTAAGTGAATAGAAAAGCTGTCTATTTACCAAATTGACCCAAGAGTATCATTTTATTAAACCACAAGATGCAATAACCAAATCAGGGATTAAGAGTATTAATTTGCGGTCTATTAAAAAAATCAATTCACGTGGCAATTCCTTCCGTCAGACTAAATTGGACTGTTAATACTAAATTATCTTACTGATTTCTATTATAAGCTATCTACTTGTACATAATCATTTAAATTTATGAATAATAGCAGGCCTCTATTTCTTTTGATAAGCGTAATACATTGAAGACTGGATTGGAAACCCAGGGACTTGGATTCTAACTACAGGTAAGTTACAATTAATATGTTGCTAAATTATTCATTTGATCTCTAGAACTGTTTCTCTTTAAAACAAAAGGTTAAAACTAGATATCTGGGTTCCTTTTCAGTTCAATTATTTCTTAGTGTTATTAACTATATATCTGCGTTTAACTTAAAATTACTAATAATTTCACTCAGGAAAAAAACTTTGAAGCTCATTTTTACAGAAGTGAAAAAATGTGTGTTATTAAGAGTGTTTCTCCAACTTATGTTCAAATGCATCACCTGCCAATCTTGTCAAAATGTAGATTCAGCAGGGCCAGAGATTCTGAATTTCTAATAAACTCCTAGGTGATACTAATTTGCCACTGGTCTGGTGACTGCATTTTGGATAGCAAGCTTCTAGTATTTGAAGAAATGTAGTATTGACAAGCTACGCTAATCTAGATAGTAGAGAAAGCAACTACGACCAGGAATAAAACACTACAAATAAATGCCACAAAATTTCCATGATAAAATATGTTTGGGATTTGCATTAACCAGATCAGAATTGGGTGGAGAAAACGAGAACGGTCTAGTTGGTAACTGAAGGTAACTGACAGGGGTTTGTTATATTCTATTTTTTGTGTATTTGAAATCCCTAAAAATGTTAAAAATTCCTTGACTCATAAACCTGTACAACACGCCAAGACAATAAACCAAGTGAATGAAAACAGAGATGCCACATAGTCTGTCCATTGAAATGGAAGCAAAGTAGGGAGGAAGAAAAAGGGAGAAAGTGCAAAAAGGGTGGTTATAATGTGAAGCTAGAAAGGGTATGTTTGTATTTAAGGATCTTACATATAATTCAGCTTCTAAAATACCAATGATAGCTCCTTGTTTATATCTTTAAGAGAAACCTGAGGCCCAAATAACTTATTTCTTAAACACGACTTAAAACTTTTCTTAAAAATTGGTTAAATGTCATGAGATTTGATAAGGGGATTATCAACGTTCAAACATTCTAATGTTAAAATTTACTGTGTTTTGGACAACAAAATATTGTACTACTTAAACACCCAATATTATATTATTTGGTAGAACAAATTTAACCTACAGAATATAGGACAAATTCCTCTTGAAAAGCAACCGATGAATAACACTAAATTGAAGGTAACCTCTGGGAAAAGAATAAGGTTGGGATTAAGATCAGAAAGAGGTTCATATAGCATTTCAGTTCATTCTGTAATGTTTTCTTTCTTTCGATACAGAATTACATTTAAAACACAGAAAATGTTAGGTGGTGATATAGTTTAGTGAAGTGGATAGGTGTTCGTTATGGTTTTATTTTTCCACGTATTTAGACACTTCATTTTGGTTTTAATGTGAATAATCTAATACTCTATAACTTTAAAGTGTACACTTTTATTTGCAAAATCCAAAACTAAAAAATTTAAAAAAACTATTCAAATTAACAATAACTGTAAAATTAAGGTTCTGGATAACCAGTGAATATTACGGTTTAAAATTAAGATTTTGAGGATGGGCAGTGGCTCATACCTGTAATCCCAATACTTAGGGAGGCCGAGACGGGTGGATCACCAGGTCAGGAGTTCAACACCAGTCTGGCCAAGATGGTGAAACCCCCGTGTCTACTAAAAATAAAATCAGTTGGGCGTGGTGCCAGGCGCCTGTAATCCCAGCTACCTGGGAGGTTGAGGCAGAGAAATCACATGAACCAGGGAGGGGGAGGTTGCAGTGAGATGAGATTGCACCACTGCACTCCAGCTTGGGTGACAGAGCGAGACTCCACCTCAAAAAAACAAAAACAACAACAACAACAAAAAACAACTTTCTGCTGAATTCTTGACATCAGACTTTCTAGTATATTCAGTTTCACGTAGTTCTGTACTTTCTTCTGAATAAAAAAAAGTTTTCACGTTTAGGCTCCACTTAAATGTATTAAGGCAGCCAGAAAACCCTGTTTGAAGTTCAGAGCTGCTCATGAGAATATGTCTTTCTTCTTTAGCCTTGAAATTCTTGTGTTAGAATTACCTCTAAGTTTCACAGGAACTTTTTTATACATATGAAATCTCATTTTAAGTGCAGTCTTTAATATAAATATGTGCATTTTATGATTGGGCTATCAAGTTCAAACAGAAAATATAAAGCTAAATCCATAGTTTCCTTTGGCTTTGGGATGCTCTCTATAACTGCATTTCACATATTTTTGCTTTATGAAACTAGTATTTAAATAATTTTAAAACATTAATATTTCTTTGTAGCAAGAAGACTTATTAGGATAACATGTATTGTGGATAATGAAGTTTACTGTGGGCAAATCTGGTAGTGTGGGATCTCTGGTATAACAGTTTACTAATTGCATAGCATTCCTTCACTTATCCTGTTTGAGCCTCTTAATAATCCTGTTAGGTGAGCAGAGCAGAACTTACTGCCTCCATTTTACAAATAATACTGAGGCTCTGAAAAGTGATTTGTCCTTTCCCTACTAATTATATGGTGATCCAAATAGATGTACATGAACGAATTAGGCTAATCACCATAATTTCACTCTACTAGCCTTAACTCTAGGGGCTAAAATGCTTCCAAAGTGTTAATTTAATCTCTAATATAATGATTCATTATACTTCCTGGTTAAGCAAAAATTTTCTTAGTTGCTTTCAAATGCTAATATTAAATATAAACCGTAGGAATCTCTTCCTTAAACAGCTGCTTTAAAATCCATTTCCAAATACATCTTATTTAAGATCAAAAAGTCATTTTTCTCTCTGATAAAGTCATTTCTAAATATTCAAGTTAAGACCTCTATTAACAAAGCAGCTGAGTCCTAAGAATACTTCATTGTTAGGTAGTTCACTCTAAGAGGCACAGAGTACTGAAGCTGATACTATTTTTACCTTTTAATGAGCAATTCACTATATGCCAAGGCCTGGGTTAATGTATGGAATTAAAAATATTCTAGAACATCAAAATTCACCTTTACTGACTTGGTGCTTTGGAAGGAAGGCTGTACTGGGGCATACTGTAAGACAGTATAGATCTGCCTTAGGCAGGAAGAGCTGGTTTCCGGTTATCTCCCACTAGGAAGATTGGGAACTCTCACTAGCTTAGCAACTAGAGGAAACTCAGCTCACAGACACAGCTCAGGACTTTGTTTCTCCTTCCCCAGGCAATCCCACCCACAATGAACTGCCTGAAAAGGTGACAGAACTTACTTTCAAATACTATATCCACCACCACTAATTACTGAGAAAAACTTCACCTTGAAAATCTTTGTTCAATTACTGTTCACTAACCATGGTATTGGTTTTTAAGACTTTAGAAATATCTAATGTTGCAAGTTCCTCTGTGCTACAATGTTATTTTAAGAAAAAGCAAGGATCACCTAGCTTCCAAAGCATCCCAAACTGTTGACTCTAATGGGTCTTCTTCAGATGACAACAGTGACACTAGTGTAAACAAAATTATTTTACTTACTATATTCTTCTTTCTTGGAGGTGACTGAATTACTGTATTAAGTATAGTACATTTAAACATATTTCATGTTCCTTTATTTACTTTTTATCTTCTGTATAAGTTTTGCATAAGTGTGGGATATTCTATAACTGAACAAACCTAAGGAACATGCATAACTTCAAAGTTATTTGATACCAATATATGTTTGGAAAAAGTGACCAAAGTATTTTGAATATAAATAGCACCCTAATTGTAACTGTTTAAAAAGTGAAAGTAGTAACTCTTCAGTTGTTAAATGCAAATTACTCTGTCTTTAAACACCTGAATGTATATCATGCTTCCCACCCAAAACAAAAGCAGATGATATGTTGCTCTTTCTTCCAAGTAACATCAAGTTCTTTTTGTTAACTCACAAGATAGTCTAAGATTAGTTAAGAAATCTTTAGCAGACACAAAAGATGAAAGATGAAACTGCAGCAAGAGAGCATGGCAAATCCAAAAGATCTATTAGTGCATAAATCTACTGGAAAAGAAAAACAACAACAACAAAAGAGATAGAATTAACAAGCTACAATAAAAGTTATGTCTTTAAAGCAGTAGATTTTAACAGGGTGGGAAATGTTTAATATGTGTCCTCCTGAAAAGCAGTTACCATCTTTTAAATTAAAAAAAAACAGCTGGTATATTTTCACAGCATCTAGATTTATTTATGGTATAAAGCCATAGAATTGTAATATTATTACTCCTTTCCCACCCTGGCAGAGAATAAACATGAATTCAGAAGCACAGTGGAGTGAAAACAAAGAAGAGGAGAGAGAAAAGGCAGCAGAGAAAGACAGAAAAGGTGAATATAGAGCTACAGAAGTGTTTATTGAGCATGCTACAGAGGTAAGCAGAGTACACACAAAATGAAATTAAACAACCATCAAACCTCCCAACTTTGTTAGAAAATTAATTTTTAATTGTGCCGCTTTCAAACTATACTGAATTTTACATTTCTAAAGATGTAAAAACTCAACTAATAGAAAATATACATGACCATTCTGTCTACATAGATAACAGAATCTATGAATCTTGAAACTAAGTACATCAATTTCAAAAAGTATTGGTCATTTAAACAGAATCAACAATTCAGATTGACAAGAACTGTTCAAATTAATTTGACCTGTAGATTCTGAGCCATGTTTTTATTAAAGTCAGATCTATTCCTAAATACAAAATATTTTGAAGATTTATTAAAACTGAATATTACAATGCAAGGTAAATTAAGACTAAAGGCACATAAACTTTGGTCCCACCTGGTTGTCAGTTTTAGAAAACTGCCACAAAATTAATCTTCCTGCATATTTTCGCAGTACACTTTCTTTATCTTTGAAAAATACATGCACCAGTTCCTGAACTAGCTAGACCAGTCTGCACATGCTCAGAAATCCACAACCATATTCCAAATCTTAATTACAAACTAAGGATGGCAATATATATTTAAATGCACGTAAGTCATGTCAACTTCAAAAACATCTACGAAAAATATTCAGCCACAAACAAGACATTACTTAGTGCTGACATTTATATGATACGTCCCACAAGAGTGTGTACAAAAAGGTTAAGATTCCACAATGCTTTCCACATAGGGCTCAAACTTACAGAAATCACTTTGTTGTCTTAAGAAATTAATACTCTGCATCTTGTTAATTTTAACTAATGCCTACATTCATAACTGAATCTAGACCAGAATTGTGAGATACAAAAGGCCAATGTTTTTTTAAAGCAATAAAGCCTAAGGTAGTAAAAACTAAAAATGCTGCTTTATTCTTTCAATATCATGTATCTTATTTGAGTAAATAGAAAAAAAGGTGACAAGCCAATAATTCAAAATAAGTTTCAAGCAGGAGAAACAAAAACTTAACCTTTTTACACACCCCTGCCTAAACATATTTTAATTCCCATATAACAGTGTGCCCTAAACAACCAATTCCTTTTTTCTAGTAAATGCACAATAGCAACACTAGTTTTCCTTTTTAAGGCACGTATGTCAACTAAGTTGAAAAAAAAAAAGCAAAATTAAATTGAAATTTTAAACAGACAAAAATGGCTTCCCTATACAACAGATGAAATATAGCAGTTGATAACTCTGCCTTTACATATGCCATTTCATTTTATAACCAAGGAATGATAACAGCATGGGAGAAAAAAAAAAGGAAACCCCAAAAAACAGAAAAAAAAATCAAACTCTGGTCCCCACTTTTCTGAACAGTCAATAGGTGATGACACTGAACAATGTGATTCACCCCCAATCTTCATCTTCCCCTTTTTAAATTGTTGACTTAGAGAAAGACACTCTCAGATGATGGTTTTCTCCAAGGTTATAATTATGAAGATCAATCAAGGCCTGAATAGCTTCTTCCACTGTTGCCATCTGAAGAAGAGCCATTTTGTGATCTCTTCTGAAACAAAATTATAAAATTAGATACTTCATTAAATTAGGAAGGGCTTATTAACTACTTAAATTTTGGCCATTCCAGAATAAAACATTTTTATAAACAAAAAGAATAAAAACTCCTTAAAGAAAACTTTTATCAGGTCACTAATTTAAAGATAAGGAAGCTTGCTTACTGAAAAAACTTAAATGCTTTCACCGTGCCCCCAGTGTTAGCAAACAGTGTTCGTAGATCCTCTTCTGCTACTGATGGACTAGGAAAATTGAATGGGAAGAAAAAGTAAAGATTAATAATAAATTTCATATTTTATCAAAATAGAATGTATCTCCTTAATACACTCTAGCTTATATACTTACGGGATATTAGATAGGTGAAGGGTTGCAGAAGGAGGAAAAATGTTTTGAAAATTTTTGGATCCAGGTTTCTTAAAACGATGCAATGGGGAATTACCAAAATCTTTTGTTAGCCCTTGATCATCAAGTCCCTCTCGAGGTAGTTGTACAGTCTGATGTTTGGACAGGGTAACACGAATAATTTTTCCATACATTTTCTGTCCGTTAAGATGATTCATGGCTACAAAAAAAAAAAGAGATGTCTATCAACAAACAATATCAAACCTCAAAACAAAAATACTTAAAATAATAGTTTAAAAATTTGAATTTTCTAATGATTTTAAAATAAATCACCAATTTACCATAGCCATTGGTGACAAGGCCTAAGTGTATTTTCATTTGTACTAGATAAGGCCTTCTAGCAAAAAAGTCAGCTAGTTTCAAAGAATGAAAATTCAGATCATGAATATCTATCTTCCTCAACAATCCTGCTGATAAATCATATAGTTAGCTACACAAGGAAGAAACTTAATAACAATCTCTAGCTCTTTTTCTCCCTCCTGCTCCACATCCTAATTGCTAAATCCTGTGATAGTTTTCCCTCCTAATTATCTCTCAAATTCATGTTCTATTTCTCTACTTTTCACTGCCATTATTTTTTATCTGGATAACTCAGTCTGCTCATTTGTCTTCCTGTTGGATAATTCTTTTTTCCAATCCATTTTCTATACAGTAGCATGATGACCTTCGTGAATTACAAATCTGATCATGTCAATACCTACTTAAAACCCTTAAGGACAAAGTCTAAACTCATTATTTAACATGGCTTGTACCTTTCCCAGTCTGTACAGGTTGAGTATCCTTAATGCAGAAATCCAAAATCTGAAATGTTCCAAAATCCAAAACTGAGTGCCAACATTATGTTCAAGGGAAATGCTCATTGGAGCATTTCAGATTTGGGAAGCTCAACTGGGATAATGCAAATATACAAAATCCTAACCTTTGTCTCTATCCCAGGACATAGTGCAGCGTGTGAACACAGAGCATTACACGACTATTTCTTTACATAGCTGCTGGGTCATTTTTAAACTAAATGAACTGGTCTGATACTAGAAACAATTATATGTTTTATGCACCAGTCACAATAACTAAAAAGACCATTTCTAATAAGTCATGCACTTTGGCTAAACCAAAGGTCTAAATGACTATAATCAACTAGGTAAAAACATCAAAGTATTAACAGTAGAGATAAATGTGGAAGATCAGGAAATTGAGAATAGAACATCCACTTACAAAGAGTTTCTAGTTTAAATGGTATACTACAGTATATACATTCTGACACAGAAGATACAAAGAATTTGTTAAATCCACGAATCTCATACTTACATGTATAAATAAGCCAATTAAATACAAAACAGATCTGAAAAGGATAACGCTGTCAAAATATGAGGTACCATTCAGAAAACAAAAGTAAATTATTATTTTACCTATAACTTCCTTAATTTATTTTTCTTATTATAACTACAAGACATTGAACTTACTTCCCTAATTTCAGTTTCTGACAAAGCTTTTGTTTTCTTTTTTACTTAAAAATTCTGGTATTCTAATTATCATTTCCCTTCCCCTTTAGATCACTTCCGATCCTACTGTCAGCAATCATCTGGCTAGAATCTCACTCATTACCTGGCTACTTCCTGAGGTAGCTGTTTGGCTATTTTGTTTTATTTTAATCCCATTCCTTGGTCATTCATCTGTTCTGTATACAGTTACTATGCCTGGGACATTTTCTTATTCCTTCCTTCCATTATCTCAAAGCTCAGCTGTTTGTGCGTCTTTCTGTTTAGACAACTTTTTTTCCTGACAACCTTAAGTCTAGACAGGCATGGTGGTGCTTGTAGTCCTAGCTACTTGGGAGGCTAAAGTCCGAGGACTGCTTGAGCCTGAAGGTCAAGGCTGCAGCGAGCCATAAGAGCACCACTGCACTCCTGCCTGGGCAACAGGGCAAGACCCCGTCTCAAAAAACAAAAACAAACCAAAAACATTTTGACTCATACAATACTGAGGCTTATTTTTAAGTTTCTGGATACAGGTTTTAAATGTATCCTTTTGTTATTTATTAATTCTAACTTAATTGTGCAACAGTCAGAGAATAAGGTCTGTATGATACTCTTTGAAATTAGCTGAAGCTTGCTTTACGGTTTAGTATGTCACTGATTTTTCAAAAATGTTCCATATGTGCTTAAAAACTGTGTTGGATGCACACTGTTAGACACATAATTCTGTGCAGGTAACTGTGCTGTATAATTTATATCTTTGTTGATTTTCTTTTTTTCTGGTCAGTTTGACATGTAATTCAGAAAGGTGAATCGAGATCCACCACTATAATAGATTTGCTCAAGTTTACCTTTAGTTCCATACATTTATTATTTATATATTTTGAGGCTATTTCACTAGGCACACATATACATAAACTGTTGCATCTTCCTAGTGAACCAAATCCTTTATCAATTCTATGTCTTAAGTTAACAAAGGTATTTAAGTTTTCTTTTGCTTACTATATGCCCAAAATATTACTATCTCTTTACATCCCTTTCCTTTCAATGTTTCCATATCCTTCTGCTTTACATGTCTCTTATAAAAATGCATACAGGTAGCTTTTTAAATATCAAGTCTGCCAATTTAGTTGACAAATTTATTCCTTCACATTTTTCAACATTACTGATGTATCAGAATTTGATTCTACTATAATTTCTTATTTTTCCCTATTTTTCTCTGTATAATTTTCTGTTTCCCTCTCTTTCCTTTGTTTTGGGGGAGAAGATCTCTGTTTTATGAAAACCAGCAATGCCTCAAAGAGTAGCAATTACTCATGATAGTGTAAGTGAAAACCAGTATATACAAAATTGTTCAGATATCATAATCACAGAATAATATGATTTCTACTCACTTTACAGAACATTTTGATATAATTTAGTAAGTAAAGGCTTATTATGAACAAGAACTAAGTTTATTTTTGAGGTGTCAGCTATATATTAAATAAAAACTGAGGCATTTAAAAAATAGTTCTAGTTGCCGGGCGCGGTGGCTCAAGCCTGTAATCCCAGCACTTTGGGAGGCCGAGGCGGGTGGATCACGAGGTCAAGAAATCGAGACCATCCTGGTCAACATGGTGAAACCCCATCTCTACTAAAAATACAAAAAATTAGCTGGGCATGGTGGCACGTGCCTGTAATCCCCGCTACTCAGGAGGCTGAGGCAGGAGAATTGCCTGAACCCAGGAGGCGGAGGTTGCGGTGAGCCGAGATCGCGCCATTGCACTCCAGCCTGGGTAACAAGAGTGAAACTCCGTCTCAAAAAAAAAAAAAAAAAAAAAGTTCTTGAAAACATGAACTAGAGAAACTATATTACTATGAATAAACTACTACAGCATTTTGTTAAAATTTATTTTAATTTTTGGAGATCAATATACTATCTTTAAAGATGCGAATTTACAAATTATACAGTATTATTACCCAATAATACTCTAAGAATGATTTATATAGTATTAATCTTTAAAAACATCTTAATGTTTACAACTTTTAGAACTCTGGTCTGAAACAATTTAACATGGCCTGTAAGATTTGTAACAATTCCATTCACATTTAAACATTACTGAGTATCTCTTTAATTATCTGCCTATAATACAAAGCAATGAATACCTACAAAGAGTCCCCTTGAAAACCAAAAAGAATAAGAACAGAGTCCAGAAATAAAAAAATGTTTTGGCCTTCTTTATTTGTTCTCAATGGTAAACCACAGAGTTTGGTGTGTGGGGCAGAGAGAAAGCAGGAGAGAGCGTGTTTTAAAGGAAGTGATAGTGTCAGTGCATATTTTTATGGTCACACAGTTTAAGAAAGCACAATTTACCTAGCAGCAATGAGAAATGATGAATTAACCACTAGATACAGTCCAAAAATTATAAGGTCTACTAGCAAGTCAAAACTTTAGTGACAATATCTTATAAAATTGGGCATAAATGATTTACAAATATAAGCACTATTAACAGAATTTTGTTCTCCCAAAATTCATATGAACTCCTAACCCCCCAATGTTTAAAAATAAGATCTTTAAGGAGGTAATTAAGGTTAAATGTGGTCATTAAGGGTGGAGCCTGGACTCAATAGGACTAGTGTCCTTATGAGAAGAAGAGAATCTTAATGTGCTTGCACAGTGGAAAGGCCACATGAAGAGACAAAGGGAAGATGGCTGGTTGCAAACCAAGAGAGACCTCACCAGAAACAATCTGCTGGCAGTTTCATCTGGGACTTCTAGATCCCAAAGTTTTATTTCTCAAAATTTTGAGAAAATAAATTTTTGTTGTTTCATCTGCTCAGTCTTTGGTATTCTGGTTACAGCAGCCCAAGCAGACTACAAGTATGGCAAAAAATTAAAATATTACTTAAACAGTCTTTACATAAAACAAAAACTATCCAGAAGATCTGAGGTAATTCTACCACAAGTAATTATCAACCGTAAAGACTCTGTATCCCTTATTTAAATGACACATAATGCCACCCATAACTCAAACAATTAGGGAAAAAATGACACATTTGAGAATACTCTAACTATGAAGTATTGTCAAATGCTACTTATAGTATATGTGAAAACAAGAGTAACGACTATTCCCGCCAGAGTACAGAAGTGTGCACAGAGAAATAGGAAAATATATACTAAGTATCTTGAAATGATCAGAACTTTCATATCTCTTTAAGACACGTACCACCATTTTAAAAATGAAGAGCCAGATGGATAGTTTTATACCTCATCTGAGCTGTTAAGACTATTGGAAAGGAACACTAAACTTCAAACTTATTTTCTGTTTGAAATTCAAAATTTTCTATGTGACGCCAAAGACCGAAATTGGTCTAGTATAATAAGTTGTTCATCTCTGAGTCTCAATAGGGATATAAAAGCATAAATACATTCGTCCTTACATCAAAAATGGCAAATTTACAAATTAACAATGTGAATACAATTAGGCTGAGGTACCACTATCCTTGAATCTCAATGAACAAAATCTAAGAGCATCCTGGCACTTACAGTCAATCACTAGTATGAATGTGCAGGTGTGTTTTAGATTTATGTATCTGACTATGTACGAAGCCAAATGACATATAAGTTTAATTAAAATAACCAATTATTTATCTAAGTAATGAAATAAAGTGTAACTTAACTACAGTACCTTTTAAAATTTCCAAAGGGATTAGCAACAGTGTTTTTAGCACAAGTTTTTCATTTTGTAAAAAGCTGGTATCTCAAGACTTTAGATGAATTAAAATAACACGACATTAGGTAAGATTCTATGGACTATATGAACAATTAATTTGCTTCTACTACAAGGAGTAGTTGGAATAAAAATCACTATTGATTTTCAACATAAATGATATAATTCTCATGTGAAACCATTACAATTTGAAAATCTTTTCCTATTAGAGCATTAGAGTGCATTTGAGAAATAGTAGGAGGGTAGCAGAAAAACACAAATACGTTCATTACATACAACTATTCACATTAAAATGACATTTTGAGCCCTGGCCATTAAAATAAATAACTTCTTAGTGATGTACAGCGGTTTATTTTTATTTGCAGATTCACATTATGCATTTGAAAGTAGAACTAAAAATGTATAGATAAAACATAGTTTAATCTTACCAAGTTGTGACTGGTTTCCATCAGCCATCTGTATTAGAGCACTGTCTTTCTTATTGTACAAAATCTTCACACGCTGCACATCTCCATAAACACCTTTTTTGGAGCCACAGAGAGGTAATCCAAAAATGGAATTAATTTTATGTGAAAGTCACCTAAAGATTATTTTTCTGACATATCAATGGAACATTCAGACATCAACATGATCACTCATTCAATCTCATCATTCTCACAAATGAATAAAGAAGATCAAGATTTTGAACAGTGAATTTTGAAAAGAATAATTTTTGATAAACCCTCAAAGCTATGTGAATGATATTAAATTAAAGACCATGCAAAATAAATTAGCATGCATTAAAACAAATTTTGTGTCTATGGAGAGTTTTAAATAGCAAAGAAAAATAGCAAAAGATTTACTATTCAACTTTAAGCCAAAGTGCTAGCTACAAATAAGAATTAAGGTGAAACAAAAATCAAATCAATAATAAAAGTATAGTGCTAACAATAACATACCGAAGAGGGTAAACAGACTTTGGGGCGTAACCATCTTTAGAAGGAGAGAAGAGCAAGCAGCGTAAGACAAGAAGAGAGAAGAGTCGAGGAAGAGCGGAGATGAACAGATCATCCATAACGAAGGGTGGTTCCCGCAGAATGGTGAGGTGGTCATGGATCATGGTTCAAGGCGGTTAATTGGGGCAAGTTGGTCCGAGGAACATTTGTTCAAGCACAGAAGCATGAACATAGGGAATGGAGACAGGGAATGAAGACAAGGACAAGGAAAATAAAGGATAAGACAGGGAAGGGAACGGGCATTTGGGAAAAGACAAGGAAAGGGAAGGTGAACACACAGGGATAAGGATGAAATGGGGAAGGGAAACAGCAATGCAGAAGAAAAAAATAAGGAATTGGGGAACAAAAACAAAATAAAATATAGGTCAGTACATAGGAAATGCAGGAATTTGGTCAGAAAATGGTTGGTTTATGTACTGTACAAGAAAAACTGAGTAAAATGTAGTCATCCAAGACAAATATGGGTAAAGTACATCTATATCAAAGAGTAAATACAGCATTTCATCTCAACATAGGGAAGGAAAGCATGCATAGGAATTTTAAACTTTGAACTTTAACTGCATAAGCATGGCTGGTTATGAAATGCAGGCAAAAGTCTTAAAATAAAAACAAAGGCACTCTGATTCAAACATTTTAGCATGCAGAACTGTGAATGATAATAGTATTAAATGATAAAATAAGCTAATGTTCATATTAACAGAGGCCAATTAAAAATGAAACAAATATTCAAATTAGACATCATAAACTGATACACTGAGCTTCCCACATTTCATACCAGCGTTCACAGCATTCAAAATAAAATATACCAGACGTAAAATGTACAACTAAAGAAAATAACTTAGCAATAAATTTTATTTAACCGGGTTGGGGGGGGGGCAGGGAGGAAGGGGTGGGGGATAAAGTTAAAAAATATTTTTAGAAGACAATGACTAATAACTGCAAAGAAAAAATTACTAAGAAAGACTGGAAGAGTGCCTCGTCAAGATCTTTGGAAGAACCTTCAAAGAAAAATGTATTAGAGTAGTTCACATAAAAGATTTAAAAAAAATGCAATGACATATAAGCATGAAATGAACAAGCAAATAATTAGAAAAGGCAAAGAGCAAAATTGTTTTACAGTTAAATTTGCAAATTAGATCACATTTGCCTTTGATAACAACAAAAAGATAAGCCAAACTACAGTACTTCACCATATTTTTCTTAGGAAAAATAGGTTAGGTTAAAAAATATACATATATAGATATAAAGAGACATGACTGTCTAAGGAAATAAAGTATTACCTAAACAATACGTAGAATTTATTCAGAAGTAGAAACATACAGAAAATACTTTGACTAATGAATGTACATAAAAAGAAAGGCAAGGGCAAAATGAAATAAACATGAAAAACTTTCACAAATGAAATGGAGTTAAAGAATAAACATTAGAGATTATTTTACTAACCTCTTCATTTAAATTGCTAACCAACAGGACTGTATTGCCACCAGCTGAGACTCCAGGCATACCCACTCGGCCAGCAGCAGCTGCAGCAGCTGCTGCAGCAGCATTTGGAATAGCCAAAGGACTCAGCGCTCCTGGAACAGCTGCAACAGGAAGCCCTAATTTTAAAATAAAGCATATTTTACGAAATACACACAAGTCGTTTACAAAAACCAATTTAAGCACGAGGGCTGCATGGCTTAGGGCTGACCATTCCAAATAGTTCCTGAAAAGTTAATTTTTATAGTGTTTAGAAAAATTGTTTGCTGATGCATAGTAGAGATAAATAACTGATTTCAATAAAACCATTAATTATTTGAACTAAAGTACATACCTGTATTATGTTAAAATATCAAATACATAATACTCTATTTTCTCTGGAAAAGCAAACAAAGCGTGAAGAATTTAATTCCAAGTCATAGGCTTGGAAAATTCACTTCCATGATTTACAGTAATAAGCCAAATGTAAAAAAGTATCACTTTGACATAATGGTAATTCACTTTTTTCTGCAAGTGCTATCTTCTTCATAAACTCACACTTGAAATTAGATAAATAATTATAGCTTATGAAGCAAAGATAGTAGTCTTTCAACTCCTAGACAAATCCCTCTGATCATCATTATTTAATTCATCCAAATAAAGACAATCTTAGCAAAATGTGCTTGCCTTCTTAATTATACACTCAAGTAATTACAATGAATACAAGTTTCTTCAACACAATACTCTCCCAGTTGAATGAACAAGAAACCATCACTATACAACACAGATTTTGTTTCAGTATTTTCCTATCCTTTCCCAATCTATGTTACCGTTTCCTTATTTTATTGTTGTAGTTTCCAGTCTTATTGTTGTTCTACTATCTTTAAGTCACCATATCTTCAGTCACTTATTCCAGAGAGAAAACCCTTTTGTGTTAGTACCCTTCATCTACTTTTCCATTACCAATCAACTTGGAATACTTTAATCTCTTAAATTTTTACACACTAGCTTATTACCCATAAATATTGGTTTATTAAAGAAACAAGTTATATGTTCTTTTTTTTACCTTCCCAGCATAAAGGAACACTCAAACTAAATGAAGTTGATTTCATGACATACCTGGATAGAACGGGCCCTTACCACTCTTGTTCCATAAGTTCACATTTTATTTCTTCTTTCTTTCCAGCTTTCGGGTGCATTTCCTAAGAATCTGCTGTTATCTTTGGTTTTAGATATCTTATTCTTTTAAGTCAAGTTTTTGATCTTTTTACTTTATAGAAACTACTATGACCTTTCACTGGCAGCCTGAAGTGCTCTTTAATATTCACAATCCTTAACCTAAGTTTTTGACTTACAAAACTTTTTCCTCCGATCGCCTTTTAATTCAGCCATTCTCTCTTCTGAGAACTCTGTCAGTTGCATATGTTTCTCATTTAACACTTTTGCTCTTGATGAGTCTTTTTTCACAGATTTTTGCCTATACTTTTTTTTTTTTTTTTTTAGGATCTCTTTTTACAACTTTACATTTTGTTTGGAAAATTTCCAACATATACAAAAGTAAAGAGACTAGAATAATATATCTCTACGTAGCTGTCACCCGGGTTTAACAATAATCAACTCACGGCCAGTCTTGTTTCATCTCCTCACCCATTTTATTCTTAAAGTACATCCCAGAAATTAGGATCTAATTTTAAAGTAGAAAATTCTTGTGTTTAATACTTACTAATGCACAATAGTCTTCAGTGTGTCTTTGAATATACCAGTGTGCATCTTTTCAACCAAATATTCTACTGCACTATCCTCCCGGTAAGCTGTTCTCATCTAATATTCAATGAATATGTTCCTTTGTTATCAGTATACATTCCTAATTCCTTTGCATGCATTCCTACACACAACACTTTTTTCTTGCACAGTCTTGAAAAGTGACCTCCCCACACTGTGACACTATTCTTCAGTATTTTCAGATAACTCTGAATGAATGCATAAAATATTCAACTAAAGTTGACAATACAATTATTCGTAGCAGAAACTCCAGATGTAGTCATTATACTGTCAAATCATTCACTTATTTTCCTGCCTTTAATTAGCTACCTTTTAGGAAAAACAGTAACTTAAAATTCTATTAAATTCCATAGTCTTTATGAGATCCAACTGATGGCAAACAAACACAAAACCATCAACTTCTATACATGGCATGCAGAAGTAGTTCAGTACCAAGCCTCAAATTCCCTTTATAATAAAAAGCCTGTTTTTAAAAAGTGTGTCAAAGATATTTGGACTAGATCTTCCCCACAATAAAAAAATTAAATCACTTTAATTTCTAGTTTCATTTTTAATTCTAACAGGAAGAAGCAATTATAAGGGCCCACCCACTAAGACAAAAAATCTTAACTGAGTAATTATAATTAGTTACCAAAATCAAAAAGTCAAAAAGGTAAAATACATTTTAGTATTACCGTGAAAAGTAATACTAAACTGTGTGGGCCCTCTATGAGGATCTCAGGAGCTCTCACAGATCTCTGGACAACCAACATTTGCAAAATGCTACCAAATATATGCTTTGTATATATGGAGTGCTCAAAAATTACTAAGGAATTTAAAAGATACATTTACTCACTTCAAATTAAAGACAACGTTGTAATATATGAGACACACACACACACACATATATTTTTTTTTTTGAAATGCAGTCTTGCTCTGTCACTAGGGTAGAGTGGAGTGGCGTGATTTTGGCTCACTGCAACCTCCGCCTCCCGGGTTCAAGCAATTCTCCTGCCTCAGCCTCCTCAGTAGCTGGGACTACAGGTGCACACCACCACACCCAGCTAATTTTTGTATTTTTAGTAGAGATGGGGTTTCACCATGTTGGCCAGGATGGTCTCGACCTCTTGATCTTGTGATCTGCCTGCCCCCAGAAAAAATAATAAGGTGATCAATAACTCCGCCCACCCCACCAAAAAAGAGACAACTGTTTTCAAAATACCCTTTTTTGTTTCTTGACATCAGGGTTTTCCATGCTGGTAAAATATTGTTTAGAACATCAAGCCTTATCATGGAAAAACAGTAATTGAGAATTAAAATAATTAGTTAATAATTAAAATAAATTTATAATGGTAGTTGAGAATTATAAGTCTAGGCTAAAGCTTCCCAACTCTTCATTTTTTGAGAAAAGGTTTGCTCTGTCACCCAGGCCAGAATGTGGTGGCGTGATCTTGGCTCACTAGTCTTGGTCTTCTGGGATCAGGTAAACCTCCCACCTGAAGCCTCCTAAGTAGCTAAGACTACAGGTGCATGCCACAAGGCCTGGCTAATTTTTTTTTTAGTTTTAGTAGAGACCAAGATCTCATTACATTGCTCAGGCTGGTCTCAAACAGCTGGCCTCAAGCAATCCTCCTACCTTGACCTCTCAAAGTGCTGGAATTACAGATATAAGCCACAATGCCTGGCCTAAAGCCCTTTTTAGTGTGACAGACCTGAGACATTAAAAAATAATAATAATAAAAAGTCTGGGTGTGGTGGCTCACGTCTATAATCCCAACACTTTGGGAGGCCGAAGCAGGTGGATCACGAGGTCAAGAGATGGAGATCATCCTGGCCAACATGGTGAAACCCCATCTCTACTAAAAATACAAAAATGAGCTGGGTGTGGTTCCACACACCTGTAGTCCCAGCAGCTCAGAAAGCTGAGGCAGGAGAATCACTTGAACCCAGGAGGCAGAGGTTACATTGAGCTGAGATCCAGCCACTGCACTCCAGCCTGGTGACAAAGTAAGAAGCCATCTGAAAATAAATAAATAAATAAGCAAGCAAGCCAGAGAACGCCACATTTTACTAAACAATCTTGCACTTTAGTAAGACTACCAATCTTCTAGTGAGAAAAATTTGGGTTCAAAATGGATGAATTTACCTCTTTCTAACTAAGGAGATAACAAAAATCTTACCAAAAAGGGGAATGCAAGCTGTGAGGTCCCCACTGTCTGAATGCTAATTCAGTCTCCTCACTTGTTCATTTACTTCTACCATTCTTTGCCACCCTGTCAGGTGATCTATTATGCCAAATGATCCTTCCTTTTACAAAGTTCATAGTATGGTGTAAGAATGTTTTAACAGGTAAGAGGAGCCACCTCCTGTCCTTAATGCCTAGTATGTATTTCTCTTTCATTATTTCCTCCCCTCAGCTGATAACTTAGAAAAACTACTTAGGCTATCTTTACAGTTCTAAATCACTGTAGTCGTCTAAGATTTTGTTGGACTTTTAAAGCCTCCGAAGTCTCCAATTTCCCTCAATATGCTTTTCTCTGAAAAATTACTTTGTCAATCAGGTATTTCAAGGTTTAATCTAAATGCTGTCTACTGCAATAAAAATATAAAAATCTACAATATATTTCATGATGCCCTATTTGTATCAAAATACTACATTCTAGAAAAGAATTCTGTTCTTAACTCCAAGCTAAATAAAAGGACAATAAACTCACTATAGCCCTTTGTAAGAGTTATATGAAGCATATTCTACATACTGTATACCCTGGCTCTAACAGATTATTTTTAGTTACAGAAATTATAATTTTAACTTCAATGATTTTCATCTTTAAGGTAGCAGATATGCTGTGAAAAAACTGTTTACACATATTGATGAGGAGGAATAAAAATGCTTGATCTATTCTAGCGATTGTTAGAAGGATAAAATAATGTAAAAGAGCTTCATAAACTACAATGTGCTGAAGAAAATAAGGTGTTGCAGGAATCTTTTTCATGTGAAATGTCCCTCATCAGCTGGGTCACCCAGACATTTTGATCAACTCAGCAATCTCCTAAATTTCTCATGTTAGTTCTGACACTATTATTACTAACCTATCCTCCACTGAAACTGATGGATGCCCAGCCATGTATATGACAAGAGACCCTAAGTCCAGAGAGAAGTGATATAAATTCTGCATCTATTCTCTTTCATATATTACACTGAAACACATAGGTATCCCCTAACCTTGCTCATTTCAACTGAAGAATTACTGTTTTGTTAATTAAATCATTTAGAAATTGTATCTATAATTTTGAGGTATTTTAAAAGGTTTAGATTTACAAACAAATTTAAGACACTACACAGTTCTTATATAACCTGGAAGCCCCAGTTCCCCCATTA